AGTCATGAGATGAAGTGCATCCAGGTTGGGATGCCTGACTCTACCACTCTCCTGGGTCAAGAGATCCAGGAAGGACTGAATGCTTATAAATGGGTGGGACAATATCTGCAGGAGACTAGGAAACCAGAATTATTTGGGCCATTTAAGGGTGACTTGAGCCCTGTCCAGTTGCATCTTCTGTAGACCATGAGATAGTACAGGGATGGGAGAGAAGACATAGTTGAAATTATCTTACAAATGCAATAGAAAAGCATCACTGACTGCTTTCCTTGAGCAACCCTGGAAAAATAGCTTTCATTTCCTGTTTGCCTGTGTCATAAATATAAAGGGAAGGGTAAACCCCTTTGAAATCCCTCCTGGCCAGGGGAAAGCTCCTCTCACCTGTAAAGGGTTAAGAAGCTAAAGGTAACCTCGCTGGCACCTGACCAAAATGACCAATGAGGAGACAAGATACTTTCAAAAGCTGGGAGGAGGGAGAGAAACAAAGGGTCTGTGTCTGTCTGTTGCTGGGTCTTGGCCGGGGATAGACCAGGAATGGAGTCTTAGAACTTTTAGTAAGTAATCTAGCTAGGTATGTGTTAGATTATGATTTCTTTAAATGGCTGAGAAAAGCATTGTGCTGAATAGAATAACTATTTCTGTCTGTGTATCTTTTTTGTAACTTAAGGTTTTGCCTAGAGGGGTTCTCTATGTTTTTGAATCTAATTACCCTGTAAGATATCTACCATCCTGATTTTACAGGGGGGATTTCTTTATTTCTATTTACTTCTATTTTTTATTAAAAGTCTTCTTGTAAAAAACTGAATGCTTTTTCATTGTTCTCAGATCCAAGGGTTTGGGTCTGTGGTCACCTATGCAAATTGGTGAGGCTTTTTATCCAACATTTCCCAGGAAAGGGGGGGTGCAAGTGTTGGGAGGATTGTTCATGGTTCTTAAGATCCAAGGGTCTGGGTCTGTAGTCACCTAGGCAAATTGGTGAGGCTTTTTACCAAACCTTGTCCAGGAAGTGGGGTGCAGGGTTTTGGGAAGTATTTTGGGGGGAAAGACGGTCCAAACAGCTCTTCCCCAGTAACCAGTATTAGTTTGGTGGTGGTAGCGGCCAGTCCAAGGACAACGGGGGGAATATTTTGTACCTTGGGGAAGTTTTGACCTAAGCTGGTAAAGATAAGGTTAGGAGGTTTTTTTTCATGCAGGTCCCCACATCTGTACCCTAGAGTTCAGAGTGGGGGAGGAACCTTGACAGCCTGTGTGGCAAACCGGTCCCAAATGAGGTTTTCCCACTGAGTGAAAATGTTGCTCACCAATTAATTGGATAGCCTTCTGAGGCAGTCTGCCAGCGAATTTTGTATTCCTGGAAGGTACACTTGCCAATAGAGTGATATGGTTTTTGATACACCAGTTGCATAAGGTGACTGCTTTTATACACAGGAGAATGTGTCTCACTCTTCTCTGCTTGTTTAGAATACAGTTATGTTGTCTGACATTGAGTACATGATGAGACTGGATGAATAATAGAAATGTTTTGCAATTCTTTCGGACTGCCCAAAGTTCCGAAGATTTACATGCATTCTTGTTTCTCAAGGCATCCAAGTGCTCAATGCCATGTGACTGTCCATGTGGGCTCCCCAGCCTATCAGAGGGATCTGTAATTATCATCTTGTCATGGGTGGGGGACAGGAACGAACACTCATACACACTTGTCCAGAATCTTTCCACCACGTTAGTGAGACCCTTTTACTGGTGGGAACTGTCACTCTAGTGTTCATGCTGTGCTTACTTGGTTTGGAGCCAAGCCTGCAGGCAATGGAGGTGAAGCCTGGTGAACAGTGTGATGTAAGTACATGACACCATGTGCCCCAGGAGAGAGGCAAATCTGAACCAATATTTGAAGGTTATGCACAACCTGGTGTATATATCAGGCTGCATATGGTGTGAAATCAATCCACTAGGAGATAAGCCCTCAATCAGACTGAGTTTAGAGTTGCTCCTATCAATTCTGTAGTCTGCATTGGGGTCAGGACAACAAACTTTTCCATGTTCAGACAGACTCCTAGGGATGACAGAAGATGAAGCAATAATGAGGTTGATGAAAAGGCTTCTAAGCTTGTTCTGCCACTGAGTGCCTAAACGGGAAGATGGTGAAGCCACTCTCTTTGAACTGTGCAACTCCTACTTGAAACACTACGGTGAAGACCCTGGGTGCTGTTGCTAGACTGAATGGAAGCACCCTGTATTGACAGTGGTCAGGACCCACCATGAATCTGAGGAATTTTCTGTGGGCATAATGAATGTTCATGTTAAAGTATACATCTTTCATATTGAGGGCTGTGAACTATGTCCCCTTTTCCAAAGACAGTATTATTGATGCCAGGGTAACCATATGGAATTTTAGTTTGCTAATAAAAAATGTTGTCATTGCATGTGAAGAATGGGTCTCTACCCTCTCTTCCTTTTTGGGAACTAGGAAATATTTAGAATAGAACCCTACCACTCCCAGCTGCAGGAGAAGATTACCTCCTGGAAGAGGATCGCCTCATGACAATGGTTCCTGAAGAGAGGCAGTGAAGGGGACTTTACAGAGAGTGGGGAAAGAAACTTGATGGTATAGCTAGAATAGATGAGATCCAGCACTTCAGTTGTGGGACAAGAGTGCTAGACAGCCACCAAAGGATGTGTGAGAACTGCATGAAAATGGCATCAACAGTGGTTAGCAACTCCTGGGCATCCCATCAAAAATGTCTTTTGGCCATGGGTTAGGTTGGGTTGATGTGGAAGGTGCAGGGTATTGTGAATTTTGCACCTTCTCCCTTTTATGAAGGAGGTTCATAAGATTGCTGGTGGTAAAAACGGTTGAGCCATAGGTGTTGGTTTGTAGGAATATTTGTGGTATTTTCTCTTTGGTGCTGGTGTATGTATACCTAGGAAGCAGAGGGTTGCTCTGGAGTCCTTTAGTGAAAACAAAGTCTCACCTATCTTTTTGCTGAAAAGGTTGGCCTTATTGAAGGGCAAGTCCTTCACAATGTTCTAGAACTCCTGGATAAAACCCAGTGTTTCCCATGATTCCCGTCGCATGACAATGGCAGTTGTCATTGACCTTGATGTGGTGTCAGCTGCATCAACCACAGATTGCAGTGAAGTTCTGGCCCACCAGCTTGTCTTCATCAGTAAGGACCTGATACTGAGCTTGGTTCTGCTGAAGTAATTTAACCTTAATCTAGGAATTTTGAATCCTTCACAAAAATCACACTTAGCCAACAATGCTTGATAGTTCAGTATTCTAGACTGGAGGCTAGAGGAAGTAAACCTCCTCATCAAAGAGGGTGGCTGCCTGGATCTTTCTGTGGCAGCCTGAACAACTAGGGAGTTTGGTTCAGTAAAGTGGAACTCTGCTTCCTTCGCCAGAGCAAAGTAATGCTTCTTAGCCCTCATGGTGGTAGGAACATATGTTGCCAGTGTATGCCATATAGTTCTTGCCGGTTCATTCACTAGGAGTGTTATCTGGCTGGAGCCTGTGGGTTGCAGGGTGTCTAGGGGCTTGTGTTTTGTGTCCTGAACCTCCTCTACAGAGATTTGGAGCTTCACCTGCACCATGCATAGCAGCTCTTGGAATTGCTTGTGATCATCCAGAGGGGATGGCAAAGCTGGAGTGACTGCCTCATCAGGAGATGAGGTTACCCTTGTTGGTACTGTTGAAACTCTTAGGTCCATCTCAGTCTTCCTCTTCTATATGGTCAAGAGGAAGCTTTAGTTGCTTTCTTGGATGGGAGGTGATATGACTCCTATTAGATAGCGCAGACCCTGCAAATCAGGTGTATGGGTACCATGAATAGTACCAACAGGAGCGATTGCAGCTGGGTTGTGGAGGTCCCCAAGACATGGGGAACCATTGGTTCTGAGGGGGGTTTCCTAATTTGGATGGAGGCTGGTACCAAGAAGCTCTTGATCTCCTGTCTGAACTATCTCCCACAGAGAAGGCAATGACAGTTCCTCTGGTATGTCTGCTTCCCCCAATGATGAGAAGGCCAGATCCAGGTGAATTGGTGGAGCTGTTGGTTCCATCAAAGGAAAGACCAGACAGCTAATTGGGCTGGAGGATAGATCTCTCCCTTAGCGCATATCTTCTGTTGAGGTCAAAATCTCCCTGGTAAGTGACAGTCCTGACAGCAGGAGAAATTGCAGATCTAGGAGAACACAGATGTCCACCAAAGAGGCGTATCTCTCCACTCTTCTTGGATTGTGTAGGGTTCTGTCTTCCTGTACAGATAAAGCTTGTATATAAAGGCTCTGGGTTGACTGACCCATATGGGTCTGTCAAGACAGTACCACTAGTGGTTAAGGTTCCTGACCTGGACAATATCCCTGGCGGTGTTTTTTGCTGGTGCAGAGCCTGGTACTGACAGATCCTTGCTCACATGTCTTTTTATCATGGACCTTGGATTTAGGAAGTTCTAAGTCTTTGGGAGCTGGGTACAAAGATTTGCCCAACCTGGATGGAGTCGGAGAAATCCATTCTCTTAGGAATGGACTTAGAGGGGGATTTGCTCTTGTGCTTATGAGAGCATTCCCTGCTCTTCTGATGAAACTCTGACAGTGGGTCCATAATCATAATCTCTGTCGCTCCTGAGTCAGGCCTCATGCTAGAAGGTGCGCTCCTTTATGATGATGCCTGATAGTTAGACCCAGTCTGGGTCTGACTGGGACCTCAGTCTTTTCCCTGGAGGTGCTTTTTTAAGCTGGAATTCCTGTGCCTGTTGGGTCTGGCTAGAGAAGGAGTGACAAATACTGCACCTCGGAGATATATGTACTTCTCCAAGATGGTACAGGCAGTGCTGAGGTGTCACTGCTGACTGAGAGAGTGCAGAGGCAGGAGAGGTAGTTTTTAAGACCCAGTACTGTACTGGGAGCCAGAAGGGGATTTCCTGGGTGGGGAACATAACTACTAACTAGTTTAATAAAACTAACACTAAAGACAGAACTAACAAATTTTGAAATATTTACAGATTTGAAAACCAGGAGGCTGAAGAGAAAAGGAGAAGCTTTGGACACTGGAGGTTCCAACTTAGGTCATGCAGCAGTAAGGAGGACTGAAAAGGTGGTCTGTTCACTCTACCCCTCATACCTTCGGTACAAAGCATGAGGAGAGTACCAGCTCAGGCACAGACCAATGGACCATACTTTCAAGAGTTCTGTGGTCTCAGGCACACAGAGCACCTGTGTATCCACAGTGGAATACAGACCGGGACCAACACTCAAAGAAGAATGTAGTGTATTCTGGATAACTTGTTTGAAATAGGAGGGTTTCCAATGCATTCAGAAACATGAACTGGCTTTCTTTGTACTAGAAGTTTCAAAAATTTGAGCTTAAAAAAAGTTGGTTTGGATGGTTTATGAGCTGGATTGTTTATGAGAATAAAATTGATTAGGTCAATATTTCAGGAAGCTATGAATGGGCCCCTAAATTAGCAGATATCTAAAATGATTGTAGGGACATCAAGAGTAACTATCATTTAACAAAACTCCTTGATTAGTTACCATCACTAGGCACAAAGGGTAAAGTAAATTACATATCTGAGGCAGGCTCAGCTGGGCTGACACATTATGGCTTTCACAGCTGGGGAAATGCCTTTTACAGACTGGTCTGACAAAAGTAACTGCAACAGCAATAATGTAAATAGGGGACACATTTAGGTTTCTTTAGTCTCACCGCCCACACAACAATAAATTCCTTTTGCCAAACCTGTCTGCTTTCAGGTGGCCAGACACTGACTTGCAGTTGTGAGTACATTACTGGCAGATTGGCACCTGTTCTACTACAGCTTCCCGCTGGGACATATACTTCATCAGGGATTAAGCCAGCTGGGCTTCTGGAATGTTATACACAGGTTTTTGCCACAAAAGTAATGATTTCAGGACTTCAGGTTTATCTCCTAGAATATATAAAGAGGCATATAGACTGTTTATAACCATTTTTTTCCCCTACACATATATGATGGCTTTGCATTTTGATACAGTATGAGGGGAAAAAAGGTTGCACTGACTTATCTCAGAACTAAAGATCTGCACATGTAGATACTGTCACTGAACTCAACTGGTGAGGAGGTGTGTTTGTTTCTTGTATTCATTATGATCCCTGTCTAGATCTAAAATAACTAGGGATGCTTAGGTCTCAGAGTTCTACGCAGGAGAATAAAAAAAAGTAAACCACCACCTTCTTTGAGGAAAAAGTACACTATGGAGAAGAAATGGATGCAGCCACTCGTGCTGACTTTTCAAAATGCTGGGGGGTGCTTGACCCCTGGCTCTGCTTCAGGCCACACCCCCGCCCCACCCCTTCCCCTAAGGCCCCACTGTGCCCTGCCTCTTCCCAACCAGTTTTGCCCCCTCCGCAGAGCTTGCCTCAGCCTCACTCCTCCCCCAGAGCCTCCTGAATGCTATGAAACAGCTGATTGCACTGGGCAGGAAGCACAGGGAGGGAGAGGGAGGTGCTGATCTGTGGGGCCCACTGGCAAGTGGGAGGCACCGGGGGGAAGCTGATAGGGGTGCTGCCAGTGGGTGCTCAGCAACCATCATTTTTTCCCCATGGGTGCTCCAGCCCTGGGGCACCCACTAAGTCGATGCCTATGAATGCTGCAGATACACTAATGATAGAGAGGATGTGAGGTGAATTCATTTGTAAACAGACAAGTGTCTTATCTTCCTGGGTTGCAAATCAAACGGTCAGTGACCAGAGCAGGGCTGTCATTAAGGCATGGCAAGCAGGGCAATTGCCTGAGGCCTAACACCACAGGGGGCCACACAAAACTAAATTGCATGCTTCAGCCCCAACTCACCTCAGTGGGCCACCCAGCATGTGGGTCAGTGTCAACACCTCCACGACCAGCGCTGGCTCCGCCCCATTGCACATGCCTTCTATGGGGGCCTGCTCCTTAGTTTCTGCCCTGGGCCCTAGTGAGGCTAACGCCAGCCCTAGACCAGATGCATCATTCAAAGACATTTTGTTGAGAGCAGGCCACATTTACAAGACTGTGTGCGTTTCTAAAGTGTGACCACTTATGCCCTTCTTTGATTTGCATGTAGACTATCAAATTCTCATTGGAGCAGGCCCAGGATCCATTCTCATTTCAATCAGTGAATCCCTAATTTACACACAGTCCCATAAATTTTGTTCATGTTGATGACATATTTGCCTCGTTCCTATCCATTATGGGATTTGTTTTCCCAAGGGTGTATTTAATTCTATATTAGTGGTTCCTGTCTTGAGTATTTATAAGTATCTGGAAACCATCAGCTCTTTATGCAACTTATCTGGAATCCTCTTCCTTTACACAATAATAAAGTAGGGCAGTAATAAAGATGGGTAAACCAAAAGGGAACTGAAAAGATTATTTAGTCTTTGTCATGTTCAAATTATGGCACTGATTTTAAAATTGTGGACTATGAAGGGAACAAATATACACCGTCCGGTGGGCAGGACACTGTGCTATCTGTAACATTAAGGTATCTGCCTACTGAATTCAGAATTTTGACAGTCAACTCCGCTGATTGACAAATTTAATTCTGAGTACAGTTTTTAAAGGATGATACTGCCTTTACAATTAATAGCCACTGAAGTCCCTACTGTAGTCTACCAGTTTCTCAGAATGTTGATTAGAGATGACAAGCTAGTTTTAAGGGTTATGAAAATCCATGTTGGACCTGAAGTCTAACAAAGTTCATTATCGTAAATATCAGACACACATCATTAACCAAGTAATGACACATTTTTTGTTGTAACACTAGACTGCTAACAGAAGAAAGGGAAGAAGAAGATGGTTAGTATATGATCTCAAAAGTCATTTAGTTTAAGTGCAGCTTTCTAGATTATGCTAGGACTAAGTATTTATTGTAATGCTGCCTAGTACAACTGGGATTGAGCCATGAAATTCAGATTTTACAAAACTTGTAAAATTAATTGAAGTGTTCAAATTGTGGGATTAAGCCAGGCCCCCCTCTGCTATGTATCAGAATACACTGCATTTTTTTTAAATAAAAAAAATTAAAATATTGGGATTTATATGGCTGAAAGAATTGGCAACAGGGTACAGAAGTTTTCTCACGTAGTTAGTTGTTAGTGGAAATTTGTGGTCACTATCTGTTGGCTATTTGGTGACCTCAGTAAAGTTTCCAAGTCGTGTCAACAGCAAAAAAATCCACAAAACACTAGATCTGGACATCTTAGCCAAGAGACCCAGGATGGCCATGAGAAACCTATGGATGGGAGACTTCAGTATCTAAGGCTGTCGATCTAGTGCTTTTCATAAGCACTGAACTTACACAAAATATGAAAAGATCATTTTAAAGAGTCAGGGAAAATAGAAATATCCTTTCATGATGAGGAACTAGATCCCAAAAGGAAACTAAATTAGTTATAGCTTAATTATATAGTTATAATTATAGCTTTCAGGTTTGGTTCTGCACTGACTAAAGCTAATAGCAGAAGTCTGATTTCCATAGGACCATGACTGTTCACTTATTTGGTAACTTTTTTTTCATGTGGGAGAAAGGGAGAAGTGGAGAGGAAACAGAAAATAAGTCAGGAACAAAGAAGAAAACCAGAAAAAGATTTACTGAAACAAAATAGGATTTCCAGTTTTACCAAACCACTCCCTCTCCCAGCTTGTCAGTCATCCTATCTGAATAACCTTGTGTTTATCTAACAAAGTTAAAAGCAGACATGGAAACAAACAAGGGCCATTTGGGATTACCAAAATATGGATCCAAATTTTGCAGCTTGGATCAGAATATTGAATTTTCATAAATTTAGATTTAAAAATATGTAACATTTGAAATAACTGAAATATCCAATTTCCCCTAAAGCAGTGGTTCCCAAACTAGGGATGCCGCTTGTGGAGGGAAAGCCCCTGGCGGGACGGTTTGTTTATGTGCCGCGTCAGCTGGTTCGGCTGATTGCAGCTCCCAGTGGCCATGGTTCGCCGCTCCAGGCCAGTGGGGGCTGCAGGAAGCAGCGCAGGCTGAGGGACGTGCTGGCTGCTGCTTCCTGCAGCCTCCATTGGCCTGGAGCAGCGAACCACAGTCACTCGGAGCTGCGATCAGCCAAACCTGTGGACGCGGCAGGTAAACCAGCCTGGCCCAGCCCGCCAGGGGCTTTCCCTGAACAAGCAGCGCCCTTAGTTTGGGAACCACTGCTCTAAAGGTAACTAGAAATTCTGGATTTTTCTGTTGTTGTGTTAAAAGTTGAGAGGTGCATGGATTCAGCAGTGACTGCTGTTGTTTCATGACCTATATGTGATGGAGAATGATATACTAAAATCAGGTTATAGGACAAAGGCTCTTCACAAAGAAAGCTGCACACTGGATTTTGACACTTAACATTTCAATTTTTCCCTGGAATACAGTTATTGTTTGAAGCCAGAAATGCTTTCTCTGTGCCAACCCCACCTCTTGTTGGCTTTGTGCACCATCCAGAATTAAAGTACAAGAAAGTTACACCTCATGAATTAATGGGAACAATACACAAGAAGATTGATAAATTTGGTGTGTGTCACACAGTGTTTACACGTAAGATGCAAAAAATTTTAAGTGAGGGGAAAGAGAAATGCCTGCAGAGCAGCTCTTTAGGGAATAGCAGGCTGTGAGTTCAACAGATTTCCATTTTGATTGCTGCTAGAAGCACTGTGTTTAGTACATACACCCAAAGGGTGCGGGGAAAGGAACAGTTCTGCTTGCAAATTTGGCATAGCTGAGATTGAGAAAAGCAGCAAATCAAAAACAAGTGTGCAAACAAAACAAAAGAATCAAAATCAAAGCTCTAAATAAGTTTCAAGTAGATTGGTTTTGATAAACTAATCTATTTAGAAACAATTTTGTTTAAGCTTGTTGGGAAAAATTGTTCAACTGAAACCCTGTGTAATGATTTCTAATTGTACATATCCAAAACAATTCAAGTTAACACATGAATATAGTAAGCTAGTAAACCTCATGTTACAAGTGTGAAACTATTTTGGCAACTGTAGGAACTTTCATAGTTATAACATTTCAAATAGAGTATTTTCCCAGTAGGTGAAACTGACATCTGTTACAATTATGGGAGAAACCCTCCCCCCCGCCACTCTCTTTTGTTTATAACCTACAAAGTAAAAAAAAAAGTGTGTGTGTCTCTTTCTTTGTGTTTCAGCCTCCTACGAAGAAATTTTGGACCCATTTCTGACCTAATCTAAAGAGCATAAAAGTCCATTCAAGTAACCGAAATTGAACCTACTTCCACAGATTTTGAGTTTGTCTCATTATCTCTAATCAGTTTTGTTTCCATACATCTCACCACACACTGTTATTAATTTATGCATTCATTTTAGAATTTGAGGATCTACTTATTTATCAGTTCCAAAGATAATAATTTAATTAGTGTGCAAAATTAACCTTAAGCTTGAATCCTGAA